CAGAGCACGGGCTTCGCCAAGGAACTGTACAATGACTTTGAGTTAGGCTCAGCCAATTTAAAGGACAAGTCACAGAAGACCGCCTTCCTCGATAAGATGATCGTGTGCGTGGGCCAATGTCTCAGCAAGGACTTTGATGTGCGCTCCTCTAAGATCGTAGCCGGCCTCGAGCCGGAGAACACCAACCTGCTATTGCAGGGCCTTGCGCAGGTTGCCAAGGACACGTCGCTCGACTGGAACAAGGCCGTACAGACCGCTCTCGCCAGGGTCTCCTCGCTTACTGCAGAAGGAGAACTGGCACCTGGAGCTGCAGCAGCAGCTCTGGCTGTGGAAGCCCCACCCGCTGCAACGCGTCCAAGCTCGAATGATCGCAGCAGCTCCGCCGAAGCCAAGGAGAAGGAAAAGGTGCGTTTTAAACCTTTTGCTAAAGGTCTGGCTGGCTATTGACAAAACACCAATACTTGTATTTGTAACTCAGTCACGACGAGAAAGTAAGGCAGAGTCCAAAGGAGGCAGTGAAGGGGATGCAGCCCCGCCTCGGAGTGCAGAGGAAGCACATGCTCCACTCGCGCCATCCAAACAGTCCGTACCCAAGACAAGTCACGCTGCACCGAGCCGTAGTAGTAGCACCAGCAAGAACATTAACCACGATGAAGTATTGCTGCAGAGCGTTGCCAAATGCAATGGCGGCATTGAACGCACGAAAACACTAGTCGAACAGGTGATCACCAAGCCCAAGGTGTCTCCGAAGCTCCTGGGGAAGCCTCCATTCCGATTCCTACACGACGTTATCTCTGAAGTGACGCGTATGACCGGATTTGCTGAAGGACTCTTCTCCGGCGAAGAGCTCGACTCCGGTGCCATAAAGGAAAAGGGACCAAAGATGGACTATCTAACCAAGATTATCCTGTGTGTTGGCTGCCATCTCAATGTGGAAATGGAAGCTAAACCTGCCAAGATCGTCGCAGGACTGGAACCAGAGGCCACGTGCAAGTTCCTGCAGTTGCTGACAGTCGCATGCAAAGCAGGCAGCTCAAAAGAGGCTGTTCAACGTGTTCTGGCTGGTGACACAGCGGTTCGCAGCTTTGGTTCTATTGTGAAGAAGCCTAGAAGTCGTGAGCGGACTCCTGAAATCAAGCAACCGTCGCGTTCCACTACACCACCAGAGAGCAAACAGCGGACAGAGGCTGTGGAGGCCAAGGAGAAACCGAAAGAAGCCGAGCCAGGCAGCTTCTCCGGACCCAAGAAGCCCTTGGCGATAGGAGGTGGAGACAACGACGATGTACGCTTCGAAGTAAAGAATGACGATGGTGACGACGGAGGAGCTCGCATGGGCACGAGTGGAGCTCCAGGCACGAGTGGAACCAGCCGCACCTCGCGACCCACAACTGCTAGGCGTCGTCCTCACATTGAATACATTAGGTTAGCGTTCGATATTAATATCATCGATCATTAATACATCAAAGTAATTACCCCGTGCAGCCATTGCACATTTAGTCAAAATTACTAAACAGACAAGCCATATCCGCGCCAGACATGATTCCGATCAGGACATATTCCTGGTCGAACAGGAGGTATACAAAATTAGGTCGCAGACCAAATTGGGATCCTTGACATATATAACGACGATTTTTTACGAACTACGTCCGCTAGAGTAATTGTGAAGGTATAGATGGAGCGTGGTAGCTCTCTTGTTTCGTTTGAGCCCGTATCGTTCCCCAAACAAGCTTATCTCACAAGAATCTCGTCTCCACAAAATCGCCCTTCCGTCCACCACAACCGGAATGGCACTGCCACGAACGTCTGCTTCCAGCATTCCCAAGGGTAATTTATACTTGTATGCAGCATGTGCAGGTGTTGAAGAAGGCATATCGATTCGCAACGCAGCAGATTTGTACAAGGTGCCAAGGGAATCGCTCCATTGAAGGGTGCATGGATACGTTTCTATTAAGTGCAGACGCGGCTCACAGCGCACTTACATCAATGGTGCAGCCGACGAAGGTCTCACCGAAGCGATGTTGTATCGTGCTGCTCATGGTCTGTCGATGAACACCACTTATTTCCGGGATTTAGCGCGTAAGGCGGCACTGGCAATCTGCATCAAAGAGGTACCCGCCAACTTTCCGAACTCAAAGTGGGTTCAACGCTGAATTGAGAGGCACTCAGACGTGATTTCATTTAGGATTGACCGTATTCTAGATGCTAAGCGGTCTGTTTTCTCCACCGAGGAGAATGTGCGCAACTACTTCAACCACCTATCAATGGCCATGGAGGATCTGGGACTCATGGATTAGCCTGCGCAGATACAGAACTGCGACGAGACCGGTATAGCCGCACAAGGGTTCTTCAACATGCGTGAGCTGTGTCCCAAGGGAATGTCAGCCAATGTGCAGCGCTCATCCGATCCCGAGAATGTGAGCGTTTTAGGCTGCATCAACGCTGACGGAGGGTTCATTCCTCTTCTGTACATCTTCGTGGGTACTCACAGGAAGATGAGCTGGATGAAGAAAGTCCCTATGGACTCGAAGTGTCAGGTTACGAAGTCCTCCAACATAACTAAAACAATTCTACAGTAGTTAAGCGGTTCGTGGATCTACTGCCCACCGCACGACCTCAGCTCTTCGTCCTCGACGGTCATTTTGCACATATATCACTGGATATGGTGGAGTACGGTGAGAATCACGGTGTTCATATCTTCGTTCTTCCAGCCCACACATCGCACGTTTTTGCAACCACTCGATGTCGGAGTGTTTCAAGCCTTCAAAAGAATGTACAATACTGGCGTAACGCAGCATTCACTACGGCTTAATGGTGCTCTGCCTATCAAAGACGACGTCACATGGATGAGCAAGGAGTCGTTCGAGAAGGCTTTTATTGCATAAAATTTATCCCGTTTTGCGATTCTGGCATATTTCCTGTTTCATTACAAATAATGCTCTGTAAAATGTTGGGAAACAAATCAACTGCCAACATTGTTTTGCTACGCTACCACTCGGTGATGACACCGCATTTTGATGGTGAACCAGGCGATTCACGTACCCAAGAAGTGGTGAAGCGTCGGAAGTTGAGGCTTGACACACGTAACGTAGCTCACTTGTCTCTCAAAATGTTTATTGCACCAGAAGCACAAAAACCCTAGCAGCTTTGTAGACGAGAAGGTGTCAGGCGGTAAATTGCTGAGCTACAGCTAGATGGCGCACGCTGCAAAGCTTGAAAAGTAGCGTGTAAAAGAAGCCGCCAAGGAGGAAGCTAAACGTGTCCGACAGGAGGCAAAATCTGAGGCGAAGCGCGCGAAGGATGCTGCCAAGATAGAAGCCAAACGTGTTCGTGAAGCTAGAGCGGAAATGGCGCGTTAAACGTTTTTTGCCCCAAGACTATGAAACGCTCTCTCAAGCACCTTTCTTCGGTGGGGGGCTCGGATTAAGCTGGCAATGTTTGTAGTCATGTAGTGGAGATATGGCCTTTTGACCATACAAATGCGTAGTTAAGTTCATTTGACTAGGAACATGTCCTCATTTCTTATGTGTGACTTGAGCATTAGAATTTTGAAATAGCACCTTAGGTGACCCACTTCATGTCTGATGCGGATACTGTACGTAC